AAATAACAAGAAAGTGATTGTTGAAATGGCAGAATCATGAAATACACAACTAATACGAGAAGCTAACATTGTATAAAAAGTATAAATCTGTATGGAATACATGTGTACAAAGACAAAAACTATGGCTGTTAAACCTGCTGAATAAAGTTCTTATGAATAAACAATTTATAACAATTAAACCTCCAGATACTCATTACATAAACATTGAACAAATAAGCAAAAATCATGTGCTTGCTCTCCCTGCACCCGATGCTGGGAGTGGGGGATGGGGGGGTAGGTTAGTTGCCTGGAATGCAAAAACTATTTTTTACAAATCCCAGAATGCTTGTTTTTAAATGTTATTGAAAGATGAAACAATCAATTTTGCCGCTTAGCATTTTAAAAGTGACAGGGGTTTACAATTTGGCCAACAAGTGTTGTTTTTTTTTCCCAAAAAAAAGATTTGATCACTCAGTGCATTTCATTTCAGATGTATAACAAATCTCGCAAGGACAATAAGTAATTTTGGATCAATAAGAATCCAGCACTGCACAGAAATGCATTTCTTATTAAGAATACCAACTAAATATGAACCTTTCTGAAAAATGTGGAGTGTCCAAACGAGCTGTATTGTTTTAGACGTAATACAAAAAGCAATTTGTATTACTGTCTCATTCTATTGCCTAATTCTGTGATGTGCGAAACCATTTGTTAGTTGCTTACTTCACGCTCAAAGAAATTGAGCAATCAAGTATCACGAGTGCCTACGAGAATGAAGCATTAAATTTTGTTCTGCAAAAACAACTACTAGATGCGACAGCCGTGCCAACAATGTCTGAGGTACTCATCATCAGGGGAAGACAAAATTACATGTATATAGAAAACTGCATGTCCATCTAAAATAATGGGAAACCAAATGTTGGGAAAACAGAGAAAGAGGAAACTAAGATACACGACCTGGATAAGGATAAGGAACAGAGCTGCAATTATACTGAATACTCTGCCCAAAGTTCATTGGAAACGCCACAATGTCACTCTGTTGGATTTTAAAATACATGCCCTTCACTGTCCATGAAACATGCATGCCTAGTAACAAAGGCATTTAATAACTTAAGTTTGCAAGCCTGTGCGATTAATCTTTCAGTGATTTTATTTTCAAATATGAAATAGAAATTATTTTCTACAAATGGAACCATCAAGTGGGCTTTGTTTTCACAAGTCCACAAAGAAGACTGCTTGAAATAGCCAAAAGCAACATTTAAGGAAAGTTTTTATTTATTTTATACAGGGTCAGTGAATACCACCTTGTACTTGAGTCAGATTCACCATGTATCCCTACTGCTTTTAAAAATTCAGTGGGTTAAAAGAGGGAAAAAGAATAAGACTTGTTCTGTCTAACACTGATGACCCTGCCTTAGGCCAGTGTGCAAAATGTAGCACCATAATTTCCTTAAAATGCATTAGTAAAAACAACAATCAATTATTTGTATCACTGTTGTTTGATAGCCTCCCATCAAAAGGTCACTGAGAATTCAGAGATGTAAAATGGGATTCTCCATCATATGTTCTACTGAGGATAGCTTTATACTTAAGTTGAAATATACTTGAGACCTGCAACCTTATATATAACTACATTAAAACAACATGTTTTGAGACTTGATTTTGCCACAAGCTTAATATCAAAATCAGAAGCTTGATTCATACCTATAGAAATGTGTTTGTGTAGTGCCCTCTGAACAAAACAGCCCAGTTCCCTATCATCATTAAGTTTGGACTGAAAAAAAAAATCTATTATTTTGCACTCTAAGGCATTAACATAGAGAAATCTGCACTATTTGAATTACTGAGTAACAGAAATGATGCATAATAACGTCGAGAAAATTGAAGGGCAAGATAACCCTTAGAGTAAAGTTCTGTGAAGCTGTGAAACACACAATTATTAAGTATGATTACACTTATTATAGACTAGTGGGTTCTCCAGGAATAGCAGAAAAGTGTTTTGAAAAACTTGGGAAGACCTTGAGACAAAAAATGCAATTCAGGATTTGTTGATGAAAATGAGCAGGTGATCAATGATCTTATTGTCTTTTTACTGTACAGTAAGTCTCTTTGAAACCTAAGGAAAGGGGAGATCTGATCAAGAAAAGGGAGGTATTCAGTTTCCATTTGAAGGAGCATTTTTTTAGCTCTGTAGACAAGATTCTACTTTAGCACCCAATGGAAGTGACTAAATTCCTGCTGACATTTTTAAGCATGATTGACACAACGCTGCCAGCTCATACAGATATGGAATGAAGAGGAAATTCCAAATGATTTCAAGAATGCCATGACTGTGATAATCAAAAATAAAAAAGGACAAATACAAAATTAGAAATAACAAATTGCTCACTGTCCACCGTGAGCAAAATCATTACAGGAATTCTCATTACTCTGGCTGGAAAACCTCTCCCAGAATCATAGTGTAGATTCAGATCAAGAAGAACAATAATTTTATAGTTTGCCAGTTAAAAACAAAAATACCAACTACTGTACTTGACATTCTTTAACTTGCCAAACACATGTAACTCAGAGTGAGGCACTCTGGAATATCCTCCTGAAGTATGGATGTCCTTGAATATTTGTCAGCATCCTTCTCCTGCTTCATTATGATATGCTGTAATCCTCACTAATGGATCCATTACAGAGTGCTTTGAAGTCCGACAGGAGTCACAAAAAGGCTGTATTATCTCCCCAATTCTATTTTAATATTTCTAAGTGCCGTGCTCTTTTGGATAAAAGACAAGTTTCTGCTGCTAGAGAGCGGCCGATTTAACGAATGGACAATAAATTATTTAATCTTCAAAGACTCCAGTCCAAAACTTAAACAGCCCTGACTGCATTATGCTGAAAATGCTACAGCATGTGCCCTAATAGAAATGGATCTCCAGACATTTGTCAACATACTGAGACGTGCGAGAAGATAGGACTTAACACCTGACCTTCTAAAAAATTAAAATCCACCCAGTTGCAAGCTCCAGCTATGCACAGGACAATATCATTGAAGAAAAAAGTGTATAAGGAAATGAAACTGTGCCGTTTACGACAAGATATCTCCCAAGACAACACCTGCTTAACCTGTGTACGGGTCACGTATTGGCCTCTTCTTCCAACACAACTTCAGGTTCAACTTCAGGCAACATTCTCAACAGCACTCTGTTTAATAAGTTAATACAACATACAGTAAGTTTTAATCATAAGCCAGCAGCTATTTAACCCTGCAACTTACAACTGGCAGCCCACTGAAGCTAAGCAGGTGTGAGCCTGGTCAGTACCTGGATTGGAGACTTCCTGGGAAAAGGTTGCTGCAGGAAGTGATGTCAGTGGGGCCAGTAGGGGGCGCTCATTCTAAGGTCTTTGTGAGTTCTAATGCCCAAGGGTAATGACAGGGACACTATACTGTAAAAAGGCGTCATCCTTCAGATGAGATGTAAAAACCGAGGTCTTGACTCTCTGTGGTCATTAAAGATTCCAGGGCGTTTCTCAAAAACAGTAGGGGTTACCCTAGTGTCCAAGCCAAATTTCACCCTGGCCTTAACCAATCATGGCCTCCTAATAATCCCCATTTATCAATTGGCTTCATCACTCTCTTCTCCTCCCCACTGAGAGCTGGTGTGTGGGGAGTGCACTATGGCTGCTGTCGCATCATCCACGTGGGGCTGCACATGGGTGGTGGTGGAGGGGAGTCCCCATTACCTGTAAAACAGTTTGAGTGGATAACTTCCCCAAGGTAGTCTGGTATTATTCTTATTAAATAAGAATTCAGATAAATCTAAAATATTAAGATAAATATTTTTTTTAAATCAATGAGTTAAGAGTTTAGACTTGTTGAACAAGCAGTCTTGGAAGACAACTTATCATACACAGCATATTAGAATGAGGCCTCCTAAGCGGCTTAACTGACAACAGCACTCACCCAAACCGATCTTTGATCCAAATGGTGTGGGGTTGAGCATGCGTTACGTCACTGGCCAACGGTTACTGGAATTCCCCAAGCAGTGGCCGAGCGGCCGATTGCTGCCGAGGATAGAGCTGGAATGGTCAGAAGGCCATCCCAGGCACAGGCAGGATCACGGGCCATTCCGTTAAGGACATGCTTCTCCGCCGCACAGCACTGAACCTCTGGCATGGAGCTGTGCTGCCTGTCTCCTTTTAATTAAACGACCTGCTTGAATGTGGTGGGATTCACTTCCTCGTTCTGGTCCGTGTGAAGTCAAGGGGTTTGTAGTCATGAGCCGAGACGTGAAAATGCTCAACAGTTGTAATTACAGAAATTTCTGCTGCACAACTAGTACAAATTCGCTTGTACGTCGCCTTACATTAGTCATTACAGTGACTTCCGAGCAGAAAGGGCAATTTGTGCAAACTCTCACTCTCGCCCGCGGTAAGACCTGCAGTTTGTGACAACACGGTGACTATCTAGTCCTTTCAGAAAGGTCACAATTTTGTGCTTAATTTGTAATTTGTGAAATTTTGTGATACCGTCAATTGATCTATTTTGTTACTCAGATTTAATAACTGATCTTAGAAATTGGGACTGCAGTTTTCCTTTAAGAACAAACTTTTTTATTTATTTCAGCTAAAGACATTACGGAAACATTATGACTGGTTACGATGTTTAGATTTGAGACTTTCATTTTAATATATATTAACCAAAGGGTACAGATATGCAATCAATATACAATAAAAATTACTGCAGCAATATTAAGTGGGATGGAAATTAGTGACATGGCAGACAAATTCGACTAACATTTAAAATGTTTAACAACTGCAGTGATAGCAGAGGTTTAATTTCAATTTAGGGCAAATAATCAGAGTTTGACATTAAAAGGATTGACACTAAATGGATTTGTCTCCAAGGAAAACGGGCAACGTCCCAGTAAAAAGTATTTTAGGTACATACAGTAAAGCAATTGCATTTTTCACTATGCTACAAGGAAACCAAAGAACTTTAAATTCCTTGAAGTAAAGCATGACAATGTAACTATGAAAAGGATGAAAAATATTTATAGAGATGAGACAAAGCATTAAATGTACAAATCACAGCCATTTAGGAGTTATCTCGATTCATGTGCACCGTTTAAGAGCTGTTCCGTTTCTCAATCACTTTTTGCTCTTGAATTCCACAGTAATTTATAACATTATGTTGAATATTTAAACTTTAAGAAGTCCAATACCAGGTTTTTATGCTTTTCACATCTGAAGAGAAGTAGAATTAGTGATCACAATAGTAAACCAATACAAAAAAAGGTAAAAATACAAAAAAAGCATAGAGCTGAGAGAAGCTAATTTTTCTCCCCTTCGGTAAAGGCTCTGTTCACGTACTGTCCATTCAAAGAACATAGCAGGAAGATTCCTGACAAACATAACATGTCAGCAGTCATATAACACTCGTAACTAAAATGTAGTATTGAGTTACACCCTGCTCTCAGAATATGGCCCATGGAGGACACCTGACGTTAATGAAGCAATTTGTTTTGTGCAATCTAGCAGGTCATACAGGTCTTCCTAAATGGCAGCAGCCTTAAGACCACAGGAAACAGGCAAAATAAGTTTAGATAAGGCTAAATAATTATCCCTTATTTATGGGTTTTTACCCGTGACTTAAAATGACCGAAACCCTCAGCTGAACTGTGGCTCCTGAAGACCTACACACCAGACACTGTGCCAAGAAACTCAAAACATAGCAATCAAAGCAGAAAGAAAGGTCTCTACATCTATCACCTGCATCCACAAAACTTGACAAGGAAGAAAAAACAGCCGCGGCGTTGCGTACATTTTTGCTCCTTTTCTTCTTGACATGTTCTGACAGCAGTTTTTCAGTCCAAGGAGAACTCCTGAGGCAGTGAGGCAATGATTTGGATAATGCAAGATTAAAAGAGCTGTCCTGTGGGGGCACTGAAGGCCGAGAATATGGGGGCCCGAAGATGAGGGTCTATGCAGCCGAGCGTCGACGGATCACAAACACCCCTCTCTGTAGCTGTCCTAAATAAATCCTCATCTTGGTGCTGTCGCTGGTCTTTCTCACCCAAATCTGCCATTAAAATAAACACAATGTCCTGGGATTATTACGGATGCTTATATTTTAATAAAAAATGACATCTAGAACTTGCTGGTATTATAATGGCTTTATGCCTCATTTACTCGACTCCTCAAAAAGATTCGCATTTTGCAAGTGAGGGAAGCTGATCCTTCGCCCATCGTGTTATCGATAAACCGATAACCTCTAACAACAATTTCAAAAAGACATGGAGACAAAGAATTCACACACAGGAGCACAATTTCATTATTTACAAAGCTTAGCATTTAAAAACAGTTTATTAAGGATGCAGCTGTCTACACACCATGAGACCTGTTTCCTACTGTGAAAAATCCAGATAAGCATTACTAAAAACAAAAATCTGAAAGCATGGAGACCATAACTGAAACTTAATAATAAAAACATAATGGAGTCAAAGAAATACTCAGGGACCTTATGCTCCCTTTGACTTCCTAGGAGTGCAGAAGAATCCTTTAATGTTACATTTTCACTAATTAACTTGAGGCAGTTGGGACAAACAAAAAAACTAACCTCATTTGTTCCCACTGAGCTAATCACACAGCTGATCCTTGTATTCTCCTTAGACTCCAGATAGATAGCTTGACTTTTATGGTACCTGTGTGAAAAACAACATATCTCGGTTTTTAGTCTGCTTTGCATTGAAATACAAGCTTCATAGTCCACAAGACAAATGCAATTTTTCCACTTTCTATGTTGCACAGGGTACAAAAACCATCAGGCCCTGAAAGAAGCAGTCCCAGATTAAAAAGGAAAATCGACTGAGCATGCCCGATATACTCACCTCTAAACAGGACTACAAAAGTAAATTGTTATGAAACCAACATCCACAAAAATGCAATTATTCATCACTATATACAAATGTATATATATAGTATGTTTTTTTCCCAGTAGTGCCAAGGTGTTATTGTGTTTTTACTCAATATTTAACTTTCAAAGTTTGCTGGTGAACAATATTGATCATATTCTATCAAATGTAAACAAATCCCTAGGCAGTGACTAATCTTGTATTGGCTGTGCGCAACTGTCATTAATAACCAGAGAGAATTCTTTCAAACGGCCCTGAAGCACAATGCATCTCAGTTCTAATCACATCTTCTCACTGCTTCTTCCAATTCAGACTTGTGGGGAAGCTGGAGCCTATCCCAGCAACCAACGGGCACAAGGCAGGGTATACCCTGGATGGGACGCCAGTCTATCGCTGGACACACACAGAAAAAAACACAGACAGGACCAGGGTCAATTTTTCCAAAAGTCAGCTAACCCACCAGTTTGTTTTTGGACTGTGGGAGGAAACAGGAGCACCTGGAGGAACCCTACATATACACATGAATTGAACCCCAGGCTCCAGTGCTGCCCCCTGCTTCTACAGCACTCCTAAATAAGTAAGGTTAACCTAACCAATAGGTCAAACATACTGTCCACGTCTCAAGGCCAGAGCAACACGGGACCCTGGAGCTGTGAGTCAACAGCGCTAACCACCCCACAGCCCGCAGAGAGGTCTCAGCAACTGAGCAAAGGAAAAAGATCAATGAGATCAACAAGAGTAACTAGCATTAATTATAATGCCGTTTCTGTCTTTCTGAGCAATCATGCTCATAAATAATGTAAATTATCATTGCTCAGACAGTAAATTATCTCCGTCGGGTTGATACTTATTATTAATCTTCATCTTTTGAGGGTTGCAAGTTAGTCCCAGCAAAGTTAAGGGAACCTGGGCTGAATATTTTTAATATCCAGCAGAGAAGGCTGGAGGTTGACTGCGTATGGCAAGGCTGGGAGCAATTCTTCCTTTGGGGCAGCACACACTTCACCATGCCAGGGGCAACTCTAGAAGTGTCCCACCCACAGCCTCTCATAGACCGACGTTTTGTGAAACAAGAGTGTGCTACTCAAAAGCAGTTGGAAAAAAAACAGAAATGGCTTAACAATTGACATTATTTCATTTCCAATGCCAATGAGCTTTAAAAGGCACCCAAACATGCAGGAGCAGGTGTCACACTGATGTTAAGAGTTTATCTCAGGGGTTTTCTTTTACTTTATTTCAGCTTTTGTACTTCTATAAGCCCTATGCTTCACCATCACACCACATTTTCATGAATGCAAGATACATTAAACGCATTAAATAAGATCTTTTGGCATACTAGAGAGGATATTCTTTTAGTTCTTAGTTTCAGCTGTAACTGAGGTTTTTTTCTGTCCAAAATGGAAAGTGATGCAACCACTATCACCAAGCCTGATTACATGCCCTGAAAAGCTGGAGCAGTAGACTTTAACAATTGTAATACAACTGGGAGATGCTCTGAATTCTGTATCTTCCAGTCTTCATTCAAAAAGGAGTGGCTTTTGAGTCTTCTGCAGACATACTACAAAAAGATGTATCACAGCACCACCTCCTGTTAGAATGCCATAAAGCACCAATTTTAATGTTACATGTATCCCTTCCTGTCATTATCTGAAGGCCCTTTATATTAAAATGAAGCAAAAACAAAAAAAAAAAAACGAATACAAGAACACACATTTCACAATACACAACAAATTGAACAAAAATAAAAGCTGGACTTTTAAAAGGTTTTAAAGGATTTGAAAGCTCCAACTGACTTGTAAGATTTTAATTTTTATCTTCAGCATAGCAACATGCTAAACATTCGTCAAATTACTGCTTATTTTGGAGGGAAGGCAAAATAACGTTTTAGTAAGCAATCTGATAATAAATAAGCGTTTTATTCTTTCAATACAAACACGATGTAGCACAAGCTTACTGATCTCGTCCCTTTTTAAAAATTAAGCAAAACATCTCGAAAGTTAACTAGGCAATATCGCCCCCTAGCAGTTCCAGCAGTAACAGCAGTTTTTGGATTTCACCATACGAATTTTTAAAGGAAAACTTGCCATCTTTTATCGTAGTATAGCTTTCCTTCTTCTATCCGGGCATCATAGCGCTGGACGGGGGACTCTGTAGGCGTGGTTGGTAAGTGTTCAGGAGAGGATGGTGAAGCTAAACAAGAAGCAAAAAAGAATTAAAGGATTAAGCCTTAACCTTAAAATGTAAATGTAAATTGTTCCAGAAAAGTAAATCTGCTAAGCAGATATATAAAATTGTCCCTAACTAAGAAATGTTCACATCACTTCAGCCTAACAAATATAAGCATGCTAGTGCAGAGTACTGCATTTTCCAATCACCACTGGGATTTTATACTGGTTCATTAACGTTTAATAAACAAGGAAGCTAATACTGGATTCCAGAAAGAACTTTTCAATTTCACATTACAAACAGTAAAACCTATTTTATATCTATTTAATACCACTCTGAAGCTCTACTTGCCTGAAGCCATTCGTTCTAAACCTTTGATTGACATCAGAAGTAAAATAAAACACGTCTTTGTATTTTTGCTTTGCTTATTTAAAAGCAGGCAAGGTCTATAACCAGAGGAAAATGGGATAATTAAATACTGTAATCGGGAGGCCTTCTGGACCTTAAAACCAAAGGAACTTGAGTATGGTTTTTTTTTTTAAGTTTTTTTTAATAATTCTGCAATTCTTCAAAACAAGAGCATTTGTTGATATTAACAAGCCAGTGAACTGGGATCGACACTGAAAACTCTTGTGTGAATAAACCACCCCCTAGAAATAGGTATTCAAAGTCTGTGAAAACCCCCTGAATTTCAGCACATGATTTATTAGATTTCATAAGACCCATTCAAGAGCAAAAACCTTTCCTACCTGGACGTTTGGGTGACTTAAGCTGTGGAAAAAAAGAAAAAGAAACATTGCATAGAATGCTTTTTTTATTCATATTCACCTCATAATGAAGAAATAACCCACTTACTAGTCATTTTAGATAGAACTATATAAACTATAAAGTTTCTGAAAAATTCAGTAAGTAGTAATGATTCTATTAATGGATATAACTAAAATACAAAGTAATTTCAGCATATTGCCATCATCATGAGCAGGAAAGTGATGCAAGACTTATACACAGAAGGAAATGTTAACCATGTTTTCTCCCTGGCTTCTATTTGGATTTGGAGTGTTAAACTTTATATAATGAGAAATACATCGTATGGTTTTGCTGTATTTAATTTACATAATATATGTATGCAAATGCAAAACCAATGCATATTATCTATACAGACCAAAATGTCCTTATCGGGAAATGAATAAGATAACTATACTGACCTTGTTCAGTGTCCGTAAGTCTTCCATTATCTGATCATCTGTAAGTAAATAGTTTAGCTGGGGTAACAGGAGTTAAAGAAAACGTCTGTAGTATTGTAGTATCCTCCACTGGGAAAACAGTTCCACAAAAGTGCTGGCCAAAACACCACAGCTGAATAATTGTGCTTGTTTCGTTTGCTATGACTGAACAGACAGAGGGTTATTTAACATCACATAGACGGGGATTGTGGTGCTGCAGTGGTTACCATTGCTGCCTCAGAACTCTGGGGCCCTGGGTTTAATTCTGGACCGGGGCTTCTATCTGCATGGAGTTTGTATGGTCTCCCCACGTGAACAGGGGTTTCCTACCGCAGTCCAAAAGCATACTGGTAGGTTAACTGGCTTCTGGAAAAACTAGCCCTGGCAGAGGTGTGCACATGTCTGTATGTGTGTTTGCCCTGTGATGGCCTGGCATCCAGTCCAGGGTATACCCTCCTTTGTGCCTGCTGCTGGTGGAGAGAAGCTCCAGACCCCCATGACCCTGACCAGGAAGAAGTGCTTAGAAAACGGATGGATGGATTGACAAGGATATCGGGAGCAGGTTTCCGCCTTTTATCTGGTATGGGGACAGGATCGTTGGGTCGCCTTCTCAGTTTCCGTGTCATAATAGGTTTGACTTCCATGGAATCTACATGAAGAAAAACAAGCGGCTCAGTTCGCAAACCAATGACTATAATAATGCACAACCTTTCAAGATTCAGTCATTCATCAAAATGATACAAAATTCCTTTCAAGCAAGAATGACAAGGATTAAAGCCCTTTTTGTTTTAGAAATGCTTAAGCTAAGCCTCGATGTAGGCAAAAATCCCCTTTGCAAGACATCTTCAATATGTATTTTAGAAAATGAGATACATTACAGTCCGTGCTTAATTTAAAAGGGGTCATGTTAAACTAAACTTTGAAATCAGGATTTTTTTTTATTGGTTTCGAAGGAAATGTTCCAGAAGAAAAATAAATTACACCTTAGTTGTCAGCCAAAAAGTTCTTGTACAGCTATTTGAGACGTCTTTTCATCCTTTTATAAGTGCGATTTGCTATCTGATTAATTTTTTCTACACACCGCCTGTCAGTTCCATTGTTAATTTCTCATTCTCTATCATCTTTTTCTTCTCCTCCAGCTCTGCTATTAGGTTTTCCTTCAGCTCGACCTTCTTATCATCAAATTCCTTCACTGCGGCTTTCTTTTCTTTGATGTAGTTCCTTTCTACCTGCTCCGTCTGTAACAAAAAGAAAACCCAAAACACGGAATCTTTAAATTATCTGCCAGCCCCCCCCAAAAAAACATGACAAGGGCACACAGACATCCATGTGGTCCAAAGCGTATTTCGTCACCTGTCTGCAGAGGTGCGGAATTTTAAAATAAAACTGATCTATAAAGGTCCAAGTATTACACAGGACAGCTCTGGTGACAGAAAAAGCACTGCACTTGAAAGATTGCACGTCAGCCAAAGACAATAACATAAAAATATGAAGAAAAATAGAAGGAAAACACAGTAAGCAAAAAGGGTAAGGATGATCTGTTACAAAAAAAAAACATAATTGTCACCATTAATGGTTTTGTCCCCACAATGTGCGAGTAATGTTCTCATCAAGATTACATCAGTGTAATCTTGTCCTCACTTTGACAGCAATGAACACGAACACTGATCATTTTGGGAAACAAATGGATATAACATTAAAATTACCTCAAGCTGCAGGAAAAGATCTGAAAGGAAAACAGAGCGCTGTAAGAAATCTGTTTCACATAACCACTGCCAAAATAATGAAATCATACAGAATACAAGCACAGTATTTCAAAAGTTATCCTCAATGTTATGCTATAACATAACTAAACACTGTATTACAACAGGTTATGATCATCAAAAATTATTTATGAAAGATGGATGAAATGTATAGATGTGACATATTTTAAAGGATCTAGTTTTATTCTGATAATCAGGATTACAACCATCTGATTATAGGCATTCAATATGGTTTACAAATCATGGAGAATACATCACCTGCATTTCGGAGTCTCTCTTTATATTGCTGGTCAAGTTTTTTCATTCTTTTCTGATATTCTTGCAGAGTACCTGTGTGTATAACACATATGCTTTTCTTAAGAATTCCAAGGTGATTTAACAGCAAATTACCCAAAGGGTTCAAGTAGTAAAGAAGAAATTATCAGTCACTTAAAAAGCATCGGTTCAGGCACTGTGTGACACAGTCCTTTCCAGTCTGTTACTTAGCTGGGTTCCTCAAACATTTTCACTGGAGACCCAGATGAGAACAGGAAAAAAAAAATGTTTTTCCACCATCAAACCACTTTCAGGTAAAGCAAAATATAAACAATATGTCAATTATTCAACTACATGAAAAACACTATTTACCCACCTTTTTAATATAAAAAAGAATGTTAGTTTCTTCCACAAAAGTGATTTCTTGTCTTTGCCGACAACTGAAAGACTGTTTTGCAGTCCACAGATGGTTACAATCAATTCCTACTTGACACTTGTTTCTTACTGATGGCTTTCTCTCAGGGTGTTAGATATGCTATGCCGATTGTTGCCTACAGGCAGCCTGTTTCCATATTTTTTGGGAAGAGCAAAATAATAATAATAATAATAATAATAATAAACTTTATTTTATATAGTGCCTTTAAAGGTGGCTTCTCAAAGCGCTTTACAGGATGACAATAATAAATAAGAAGACGACAACAATAAATAAGAAGATAATAAACATAATCCACATGTAATAACACATATGCTCTCCTATCTCTCAGTCTCATCTCTTTCCTGATGGTCACTCTCTCCCAGCCCAACTCCAGAAGACCCCAGTAATTCTCACACAGCAGGATTAAGGCGTGGGGTCAACAAGGCATTCATGGGGTTTGCTGCTGTACCCACTTCCTCGGCCAAACCCTTCCTTGGCCCAGTGAACCCAAGGAAAGAACACCTCCATACACAAGACATCAGGAAAAGACCCCTGACACCAGAAACAAAATGCAGAGGCAGCCATCTTGCTAGCAGCAGTAGAACTAACCAGCAGAATCTACCTCTGCTACAAAGGTAAATGTACAGTAGTTAAGGTGGGTAGCTGCATCAGCATTTGTAGGTTTCAAAGTAACAGGTAATAGGTTTATTTTTAGAAGAATGGAAACACAACGTTTTATTGACAAGAAGAAACATTTTGTTTCCATTCTACTCTTTTCAGCATGGAATAAACCTATTACTTGTTCCCACACAGGTAAATGTAGTGACCAGCTGTATTTAAGCAAAAAAAAAAACAGTAGAACAAGGGGACATTTTCCCCTCAAAATAGCTGAGTTGAAGATACCCTTCCCAAAACACAGCCACATCTGAGCAATCTCGTGTCCTGTTTTCGGATTTTGTTTTATAGAGACACAGAAGAAAATGCTGCTTCACTCAAATACTTTGTTTTGAATTTGCAATAAATCTGAAAGCATCGAACAGAAATAAAAAACAGATGCAATACTGCCACTTATTGAGATTATTCTCATCCATTTTCATCTGCCACGGAGACATTTCCTTATAGTGAGGAAAATGAATAGAGGAATACTGCCCAATTCTGTGAAAGGGAAAGATCTCCTACCTTCTTGTAGTTGTTGCAGCTGTCGTTTTAAGGAGGCCAATTTGTCCTGGTACATTCTATAAAACAGAAAAGCAAGTAAGGCGAGAGGGAAAAAGTATCCTGAAAGTGATAAAAGATGCGGATTCTTGAAAAGAAACACTGTTATTTTCATTCTATCATTACAGCAAACTGTGCTGTGAATGCAAAGTAATACAAGGCCGCAACACCTTAAAAAACTGTTATTATATTTCACTGAAATATAAACGAGACTAATCTTGAAGAACCCAAGTTTAAGAAAGATTATACTATTTTACATAATACCAAAAACAAAGAAAAAGCGGTTACATGGTATAACTAATGACTGACACTGGAGGGCAGTAATCATTTCTGTTTGCCTATGTAAAGCCTGACCTCTAAGAATCTACAGTTTCTGTTATTGTCTTGTCTAAAGACATTCGTCATCTTAAAATAAATGTGTTGTCTTCCAATCCATAACATAAAGCCCAGGAGCTCCAGATGTTCTGAAAAATGTTCTGCTGTAACACTCACTGTTCTTTAATTTCTACGTAGTCATCATCATCCTGCTTCGCCAGATCTGTTTCACTGGCATCTTCTGTGTCTGAAAAAAATGAACAAAAAAACAAACATTCAGAACAATCTGTCTCAGGTTTATTTATTTTTTCTTGAACTGACACAACATAGGTAAATTCATGATGCTGATTAATATTTGTCATCATCAGGCCTGGTCAGCAGTGAAGGTCAAAGGCTACTACCCTATGTAGCCACCATGGAAAAGCATTGGTAGTTGTACATCTGTGACTCTGCACCATGTTGCAGGTACAGTCTTGTACGACTCTGTCCAATTCTACTAATAAAACCTAGACAAGCATGGCTCTTGTTCACTGGTCTCTGATCCCTATATGCCACATGTTGGTCCAGCTTTGCACACAAAAGTTCAATGGGGTTCATGTTGGCCAGGCAGGCCAACAGCAGCACAACCGTCACATTCTCATAATACAAGAAAGCCCTCCTTACACGGGGTGCATGAAGACGTGGGCTGTGAAAAAGCCTGGAATGCTGCCGGGTCAGGATGAGCTTGCAAGAAGGGCAGCGAATAACATCCCAGGACTTCAGCAATATACTGTCAACTCACCATCAAAAAAGTGGAGGACTGTAGCAACTAGACACCCCTTGCCAGGCTATCACTCCTGGGCCTCCACACCTACGGGTCTGTTATTATGCGACAATTAGCAGCTTGTTCTACTCCTCTGCACCACACTTGCAGACTCCATCAGGAATAGTCCATATAACACTTTGATTCATCACTACAAAAAGCCTGGCTGCCCTGCTGGTGAGTCCATGCAAGGCGATTTGGCATGAAAGATATTGTGCTCTCGGTAAACAGGGCAATACTGATCTCCATGTTCAGTGGTAAACTAGGTTCTCATATTTGACATGTTAAATGACATGAACACCTCTGCCCAGTCCACTCTCTCACTAATGACTTTATTGAGTGCTTATGCAAGAAAGCCAATTGAGTCCATCATGACTAGTCAGGAGGGATCAAAAAGATGCTAAAAACATTTAATCAATGCCCAACATACTTTAATTTTCTAAAAAATGACATGCATAAACAGAATGCTAAGCTTCTTTTGATGGTTGACATTTGTAAAGGAGATTAATTTTGTACAGAGGAGTCCTGAAGGCAAAACATGAGAAGCATTACAAATTGTCAGCTGTCCTACGAAACAGATGACAGTATTCCTTGTGTAGAGGATTTGAATTCCCTTCAGTATAAGCAGTTTGATCCATATCACCTCTTGTGTTAATCAGCATTTAGCTTACTTAAGATTTTCCATTTCTAAATGCCAGCTTTTTTAAAGAAATTGCATTTTACAAAATCAATTATTAGTCTTTAATGAAATCAATAAATGGACTTCAATAAAAGGCAATGTGGAAAATCTTGTTTTGCAATTAGCATGTTATTGATGAGTTAAATACTACCTCCTATGAAGTGTCATCTGTCTGTTTAAAAAGACTTTCAAAGGTTGACATGTCAGACCTCTAAAACACCCTGTACTGGTGGACACTGCCCACCATTAACATATAGTATTATTCATGTACTTTAATTTATAAATGTTGTATGAAAAATAACATTTATATTTTAAAATTAAATTTAACAACAGGAGTATATCTCTGGGCAAAATGGTTTGATACAATGTCCTTCAGTCAGAATTTTAATTTTTACCAACTTCAATAAAGTAGTTAAGTTTAATACAGTCATGGCCTTGTCAGAATTGCATAAACCGTTCAAAACTGTCTGCAAAAACCCTTTTCTTTAGATTTCCCATGCTTTGGGCACAATTTCTGAAATATCAAGAAAAACTGATTTAGCAAAATTGGTCTTCAAAAGACTGGAGCCTGCCTTACAACAGGCATCCTACAAATGTCCCTTTTTTTTGTTAAACATGAACAGATTTAAAGTAATTGGTGTGATAGTAATACAACTTAAACGTTTGTTTCACTGTTACTAAAAAGGTTCAAATTGCCTTTCTTTGTCATTTGGCATTTGTCTTTTTAATTTTTAACACAAATAACTAAATAACTGCTGACAATACGGAGTGCTTTCTATTGCATCTCACAAAATAGATACTGTGTGTAGTATATGCAAGTCATACTTCAAGATGCTGCACATATCTGCAGCAACACAACAAAGCCCACATTTCACAAAGCAAGCATTCTGTCCAGCTTGACACCACATTAAGAATGCCATTTACCTTCGTTTGCAATAAGCACGTGCGCGTTACCAGCCATTCAGCTGCTGTCCTCTTACAGCACAGTGGACATTCTGTACAGCAAGGTGACGTCACTTAAGAGACTGCAGAAATATGGGTTGCTTGTCACAGTTTTTTTTGCACACAAAGTAGTTTTTAACATAACATTTTCGTGGAGAGCGGCAAGGAGAACGCCGTTTGCAGCACTTTAACATTTACCGTTTCACAGTTCACAAATACAGAATTCCCCTCACACACCATTTAACGTAAACCTCAGAATCACAAGGCACCTTAGTCTCTCTGTTACTCGATTCGGAAACATCGTATCGACTCGCGGCCACTATGCAACATTACTCCAGAATATTTCCACAATCTAAACTACAGCACGAAATTTCTAGATCTACAGCTATAGTTGTTGGTGCAATCAGAAACGATTTAAGACAATTAACGATCCTCGACTTTCCCAAAGGTAACCGAGTTAAAATGTCCCCTCATTTCGGGCCCCGACGTTACAATAGCCTCGATAGTAACTCAGTCTCTAGTTTTGCTCCAGATAAAACTCAAACCAGACTTGCCTTCTATGCGTAGTTATGTAGCAAATGATTCGCTATACTATCACACCCATATCGCCCTATTTTTACCATATCGCATGCAATTCAGAAACTGAATCCAGCCGTAGTAAACTGAATGCTTACAGGACAGGTTTATGCAGTCTGGTAGAATAAAAACTAAAAGTACAGCAGGTATCTTTTGCAGTTTCTTACATTACATCCAATACATCTGTACGATAATCTATACTTAGATTTAAATGAAATACAGGCCCACTGATCGCAGTCCTTTAATACGTTGCCATGGCTTCAAAGGCGAGAGAAACGTTAAGGTCGTAAGCGAAACGAGTACAGCTTTCTCTTTTCGTGTCCTGCTTCAACACAACTGTTCGTGCACTTTAAATGACACTGCCTCCGTCCAATCCGGTAAAAGCTTCCGCTACCGCAAAACCAATTACATCCTCATTCTCAATCTCTGTCATCTGTCAATCAACTGATTGTGGGCAGTGAAGTTCTGAGTTTCCTTTCCATTCACTAAACAACAAATTACATTGGATACTTCACCTAAGTAAAATATTCCATACCCATAACATGATTTATATTTTATTTGCCTTAATCTTCCCTTGATTACCCTATGAGATTGTGTTGATATTGTTTGCTCAATATAGGTACATGTTTCGCACGTCCAGTGCTTTGTGCAAAACGTCAAGAAAATGTATTTCCGGACAAAACATGCACATGAACTGAACGTGCTTTACATTTGTTTATTTCGTACGTCCCTCCCCATCTGCTTGAGGTACACATGCATCAAGGCGACCGTTCTTCCCGGTTTGATCTTCCGGAGACAACAAATTAAAAGTACGGTATATCACTAGGTTTCGACTACTTTAGCAGACACTCCTAATACAATTTCATTCAAATGTCCTGCAAGCAGAATCTACTACAAACCTCGTATGATACTGCACTGAAAACAAGGAAAACAACCCGACTGAACAGTAAAACTCCACATTTTGCAGTCGTTCGTGTCAGTACCTTCCTCTGAATCTCTCCCTCTGTAACTCCGATCGTCGTCCTCATCTACGCTGTCCAATTCTTCGTCGTCGTTGTAATAATCCACAACTGGCGATAACAACGCCGAAGTCATTTTATGTATTCAGAAGAAAATATAATTAAAAAAATCTTTACTAACGTTTCTATATCGATACACATATGCAGCTCTAAAACACAACAGCACCCGAGATGGCTAAGACCCCTCGATTTTCGAGAAGACCCATGTTATGCCTGCTATGAAATTATACATTCGTGTATCGGTGACTATTTTTTCTGAAAATATCTTAAGTTTTAGAATGAAATATGAGAATATATTTTTTTAAAATTGAAATAAATCTTATGAGGTTACATTTATTATGAGGCATACTTTCCATTTCCGCCAGGCAATGTAAAAGACAGCTTCATTAATGAGCGCTCTGTTGAAAATTATCATTATTCAGCTCTCTCTAACTGGTATTTACTTTATTTCTTACAACGAAGCGTGAAATGGTTATTTGTCTTTGAAAATATTCGACTTTGTATATTTTGCATGCCATTTAAAAACAATAATCGTTCGCGTCTGTCCTTCTTATATATACGGCGCGAACACGGTGGGTTATGGGAAATGTAGTTTTTAATTATTCGTTACAGAGCAGTGCAGCGAATAACAACTACATTTTCAAATTTTGCAAAACGTAGAAATAAGAAAATGTTTTCATGATTACTAGAATGAGTCGCTCCTTTTTATTAGCAATGTATCGAATTAAGATTTGCTATCTATACAATCCTATTTTTAAATCCATGTTATGGCATGGCTGTTTTTAATTATTAGGCCGTTTATGAAATATATTTGTGGCTAATAAAGCATAGTGTGCATTTTTCCCCATATCGCATAATTGCTTATTAATGTTGCAACAATGTTAAAAGCAATGCCCAAACTGTTTCCAAGTACCATTTCTTTCTCGTTGTCAACAGTAGATGGAGCCGTAATCCGTGATTTGTACCTCGTCTGAAAACCATTAGTAAAAAAAGTTTAGTAAAATCAGAGTAGGAAATGTATACAGTATCGATTTTCATAATTTAAATTCAGCTGTTCACCCTGGAGGTAAATATCTACACTTGTCGATCTGTAACGAACATTTACTGATTCTGTCAATGTGCATTTTCCTATAAGGCTGGTGCCTTTGACCTGAAACGTGTCTTATTTCGGTCTCATCTGGTTAGATTTTGCCCAGCAGTCACTTAATGTTTTCATTGCCTTACCATTACCCTTAACATACTGTACCCAATGCAGAACCCTTGTCAAAATGCTAAATTCAGATCCCTTCCACGCATTGGGATAGACAGCTCTCGAGTGACCGAGCCCTAAAGCAGCTGTTTGATATCTCACATCAGAACTTTTATGAGCAATATTATATATATATTATTTCATCATATCTCCTTATTATTTCCTCAAACAAGTATTTTTTGACACGCTGTTCGTTTGCTATTTTAGGGTTGTGTTAGGCAGGCCAAATTGTATAGATAAGTAACTTGAGTACAAAAAATGTCGTGTTGACTTGAGTATGAAAATGCCTTTGAACGCGTGTTTCTTCAGATGAACAAAATGCAATTTCCCGTAACACGTTCCACGGGAATACCTAGAACTGAGAACTGTCCAATGTTCAATTTAAATATTAGCTGTAAAGGCCCCTTTAGTGGTGTTTCTAATTAACAAAATATGTCCAACCGCATCACCTGCCTGTTAGTACATTTTTTTTAAAATCAATTATGCGATTCCTTATTTTTATTTTTTGCATCATTTCCATTTTTGGGCTAAGTATTGAAGGGCCGATAAGAAACCTTAGTACGAAGAGTTGTTGTTGTTGTTGTTTTAAATTGCCTTTACTCAAAGGTGAAAGAGACTAAACGTTTGGGTCCGAAGCAAGTCGAGCAAGTCCTATTCGGGTCAAACCTTCTGCCCTCCAGCACCGAGGGTTAAGAATTGCGCAAGAGAAATCATCGATAACCGATATTCCTCCTTCGTGTGCGAAGGTCTTGTCCGCCCGCTGATGCGCTCTGCGCTCGATTGGTGCATCCTGAACACAGAACCGCACCTCAGAGTCCAGGGCGAGAGAAAATAGAGAAGAAATATCCCAATCTGTATTTATCATGTTGCAAGACGAAATAGACTGACAACACCAAAAGTGAGTACCGCCGCTCTCTTTACCGCACTTTAACAGCACAGCTGCGAAAGACTTGCGTGACTTGGGTTTTCGAGGCGACGGAGAAACGAGGATTTTCTTCTTTTTTTAAAAAAATCTTGTTTTAACTCTTATTTCCGCTTGTGGATAGTGACTATATTGCTGCTGTCACGACGTTGCCGGGCCTGGCGAAGACGAGTCTTCATTCAGGAAGTCAAGCTGCATTTTTAAAAAAAAGAGATCGAAACTCCCAGTTGACAAAAAAAAAACCCCGAAGGCGGACTTCATGATTTTGATCAAAGTTGGATTTTTTTTCTGGAGGAGACCTAACGCTCGACGGTCAGTAGATGAAATTATTTGGCAGCGCGTTTTTGTTTTTTGTTGTTGTTGTTGTTTGTTCGCTTCTGCAGAAAGGAGTTAATACAAGTTTTTAAAGAGCAAGTGGTGAACGCAATGACGTGGTGTAACTTCTACACGCCGAGTTGAACTTGAACTCAGGGGGTTGAGTACAGGAACTGCTACACCTGCCCGGAGCTTAGATGTGAATATCCTTTTTATTATAAGGTTCTGTTAATTTTCTGAACCTCCCGGCAAAAGGCTAAGAGGCCAAGTGGGGAAGTCTAGGAAAAGCATCCTAAATGTATACCACGTAAGTAATTTAGTTACGGTTTCGGTGTAATCATACAGATACGTGCGTACTGCCCTGTCTCGCATATTTCCTTATTATCGTGCACGCTGAAAAGAAACTAGCAGTGAACGGGTTTTATTTCTTAAAGCTGCTAATCTCTCGACTGGGTACAGCACTTGATGTGAAGTAACGTCGAGCCGTGGTAATTATGTAACTTATTTTGAAATTCGTGTCTTTGTACGTGCTTAGTACTATTCAGAACGATAAACCTGACGGTGAAGCACAGGCTGTGTTACTTCTCTGTAATTTACTACCCAACCTGCATGATTATGATTATTTTTAATTTGACGAACGTGGTGTACTCGTTGTAAGAAACGCAGTGGCTAAAGATGATAGCGAGGAATAAATAGAGGTACAGTACTTGTTTTTTCCGTCCTAGGTTCGACAGTATAACTAGGCCTAATTAGCATTTTTTTTTATTTAAAAAAAATCCTGTGTCTGTTCAACCCAGGTCTTAATACTAACCCAGCAAAAATGTACCTTTTCGACCAAGACGCTATTATTAACAAGGTGTGATATTAGTATCCAAAATAATACACAGATGAACTTCTTCAGACGACGGTCTCTTGAAACATTCAGAATGTAATAAGATTTATTAAACGCAAAACCACAATTTTGTATTTGAACGATTTCGGTAGCATACGCCTATTTACGAGCGAGTGCTGTTCTAGATAACGTATGGCGACTGACTTCATCACCTTACCTCGCACTTTTATTTATTTCTTCACGGAGATCTATCCTCTTGCCGTATCAAAAACGAGATGGCATCGCGCATTACACATTCGCTTCATTTTATTTGATTCGCAGTAGTTCAAGCCCTAAACGCGATTTTGCGTTGTTTGAGACGATGTTGCTGTTTATTGTCGGTTTTTGTTACACTCGTTTTGAGTACCGGTACAGAGTGGTTCATATAGCATCAGTATCCCTATAGGATTCATAACAGCACTATCTCTAGACAATTAAATGTGAATGACGCGTTTATAAAAAAATAGGACTTGTAGTGATACATCGATCCTGCTACAGCTCGAAATAAATTATCTTTAACGTTCAAACCAGCAATTATATTTGCTGTAATGAAAAGAAGGTTTAGCACGAAAAAAATGAAAAGCACGTTTAATATTGTGCTTCAGGGTGGTATGTGTTGACATTTTCAGCAGTGAGTACACCTCTCCTCAAAGCTCTGTTTTTAAAGAATTGAAGAGGCATAAGGAAGTGATATCGCGTAAGAAAATAGGGAAGAGACTGGTTTTTCAGCTCTTTGGCTTCTTGGTTCTTAGAATGACTATTCTTAAGGGGGGGGAAATGTTCTTTAAACTGTATACCATAAATTGTTTTCATGTTCCAGCAACGTGCTGGGTAATTTGTCTGTCCATGGAGCAACAATGTTACCAGACAACATGTTGAATATTGGCAATGTTTGTATGACCTAGTACGGTATTTTCAAAACATGTCTGCTTTGCACAGGAACGAGCTATTCTCTATTCTATTTTTCACAGATGCACGGTCTCTTTAGGAGTACAGTATTCATGACAGCATAGCAGCAATATTTAAGCACTCAGTCTTTATAAGGACTTACTTGAAATGGCTTACAATTGTTAAATTGCTACTATTTCATTTGCCCGTGGAAACGGAAATTATTCCGTTATTATTTTGTATCTTAGTTCAGAATTTAAACAAAACATACGGTACAAAGTAAATTGTAAGCATAACATGACGATTTAACCTGCTTTTTTCTACGGAGGCCCATATCCGAAATGCATTGTCTAAAGGGGTTGTCTTTTTCCATCAGTGATGTTCCTAATGCAGAGTAATTTCTTTTATCAGTCAGTGAATCTGTGGCTAATGTGTGGTTATTAAGGGACATTGCTCCTTGAACAGTCATAAATTGGAAGTTAAATGGTAACCTATTGTACTTTTAATCTCATTCTGTGTAACTTATAATGCTGTTATTTAACTATCCTAGATATGTACCTTATTAAATTATTCAAGTAAAAATAGTACTTTTACTATAATGTGCTAATGTTACAGCCTTGAGATCTTACTGTGACAGTTTTTTTTCTCCTTGGAAGTTTTTTTTTAATATGGATTCCTACATAGGAGATTGAGTGCATATTGATTAAACCCAGATTGAATAAACAGAGAGGCTTCAGTTTTAAAGCCCGGAATGACAATTAAAAGTTAGTTTTATGATTTAGACTTCATTTTTAATCGGTCTTAGATTCTGTTGTGCTTTTGAAGGGCGATTAGGTGAACAGGCAGTTCAGCTCTTTTCGCAGTCGGTTCATGGGCTCTCTGCTAAGCAACGCCAAAAGCGATTATGTGAAAATGTTGTGTTGTCAGATGTGCAGTAGAATCAGACTAGGCTGTCCAGTATCCACGAATGTGCCATAGATGCAGTAGATCTTGTCCACAACCGAGCCACAGCGGATCATTGGGCTGCAGCTTATCCTGGTTTCCTTGGCGTTAAGCAGACGAGACAGCACGTGACTCCCTGTCCCCCTTTTACAGCACTCCAGTCCACTGCAGGGATTAGCCCTGGAAATACAGCTGGGTGGACTGGAGCACCTGCGTACAGTAGCAGTGTCTGCAGAGACAACCCACCAACTATGAGACCTGAAATTTCCCCACAACTCTGTTGTCCTCCTCCCATGCATACAGTATGAGATTTAATTTTTGTAAAAAAAAAAAACATAGATAAAACAAATACCATAAATGTCCAATGTCTGTAATTCTGTTACACGTGGTTTCCTTTAAGGTAGAGCTAAGTTTTCCTCTGATACCCACGGATACATATAGATTACTTTTACCAGGCTCAGAAGCAACAAATACATGTAGATTAGTTTTACCGGGTTCTGTGTTGCAGGACAGGAAATGTAAGAGCAGTGAGAGAAAATGGATGTATTGCCGATACGCGGAAACAGAGATGTTCGTTTTTCTTAAAGGTAGCTCTTTTTAAGTATTGTGTGTAGCCTAAACTAAGATTCTCAGCGTGTGCCCCAATGTTGAAAAACCTTGAATAAGTAAACATCTTATAAATCCTATAGCATGGGATATTGCACCTTTAATAGAATCTCAGAAAGAGGCCACTGGTTAATTCATGTAGTTAATTTGGCACACCAGATCGAGTAGGTGAGTTGAATAATGACTAACGGCAGCAACTCTTTTGTTAGGAAGCAGTGCCTGGCTAGTTACCGTTTTAGTTCTAGCCCAGTCTCCAGCCACTGCAAAACAGCTTCTGCCAAGTCAGACAGGCCATAGAACAGAGCAGAGCTATAAAGCTTGGCAACAGACTTAATCACTGCACAGAAACTGCTCTGTAAAGGGCTTTGTATAATCTTGGTGTGAATGAAGTTTCAAATCTCCAGGAGAAGGATTCTCAGCGCTGGGAACAGACTTTTTTCAGAGTGCTAAGAGAAGAATCGTAGATGATTTACAAAGGATTTCTCTTCAAACAGAGTGACGTTCCACTTTTCTCCCCAGTTCCACTTTTCTCCCCAACGTGTCTGGGGAAAAAAAAAAACATTTTACAGCCCTTCAGGGTAGACAAAATGTGTCGTTTTCTTTTAGGAATGTATTCTGCCGTTCGTAAATAACGACCTTTTGAAAAAGAGAATGGAAAAGAATATTTTGGAGAAATGGCATCTGAAATGTACAGTACAATTGTGAATGGGGGGTGCTGGGGGATTATTTTCTCAAATTTTAGGTGACCTGCTGTATAGTGGTGGATGCAGAATACCACTTATATTTGTGGCTACTCTGTCCACGTGTTCTTTAACCTGTTAACCTTATGCTGTGCAGGATTTGGTTTAATATTGGGTTTTTTTTTAATCTGTATACCTGAGAATAGTCTATTTGAGCCTCCACAACTGAATTAAACCATCTCCTAAAAGGAACTGTCCCACCCAAATTTCAGTATCGGGGGCATTAAAAACAAACGTTTCTTTTATGTTGTACCCCAGTTTTGCAGATGCTAAATCGGGCATTTGCTGATTTGGCATCTACATTTGTAGACTGTTAGTTCTCATTTTGTTGTAGTGACCGATTTGTGTTACTGTATGTACTACATGAGGGTTTGCTAAAATTAAAAGGCATGTGCACATATGAGCAGGAAACCCCTTCGTCTCAGCATGGTGTTTCTTTATTTAGAGTCGCGGAGTATTAGAAATATTTCTCTGACAAGTCTTTAGTTGATCTTTGATCAGTGTCGTTTATAGCATTGTGTTATCTATGAATGCTATCTAAGAGTTTCAAAGTGGGGATTGTGTAACATTTTCACATTTGACCATCCCTATACACCTTCATTTATGTCGGCTTTCTCTTTAACATTGCAGTTAATTGCAAAAGCAATGAAGTGATAGGGTGTTCAGTACATTAGGAATGATGCAGTAATGACATAATTGCAATAAGAATACCCTCTTAAATGTCTACAAGAATATTATTTTGCCTTTTCTTTCTTACTGTTAAAATGCATATTGCTTACTTGAAAGATGTTTTGATGATTTTGTAAAGAAATTAACATCTACAGTCAGTATGCTGTATATTGGTGATCTTTATTACAGAGAAATTTATAAATGTGTGTCACCAGTTTAGGCAGTGTTCATAAAGCCTTACAAAATGGTAAATTAAAAGAAAAGTTACAGTAATGTGAAAT